TTTTTTATTTTAGGTATGCGATTAGGACTTTTACAATCGAAGCTTGGAATTATTGAAATATTGAAAAATTATGAAATTTTACCATGCGAGAAAACAAGAATCCCGATGGTTCTGAATCCCAAAGCACTCACAACAACAGCATTAGGAGGATTATACCTGAACATTCGAAAGATCACGACCGCGGCTGGTTAAATACTTACCAATTGTAGAATATTTAACTTTTTATTTATAATTATTAATTTAACTTTTCATTTATAATTATTCTAATATTTTTGATCAATTATTATTTTATTTTTAATAATTTTTACTTTCCAATGAATTTTAAAAAACTAAGCGTAATTTTAGTTTTAAAGATTAGAAGTAAAGATCGACGATTATTCAAATGAAAATATTTAAATATATGATAAATTTTAATTTATATATCATTAGGAGGAGAAGAAAATATAATATGTACACAAGGGAACAGAGTTGTGTTTGTTTCATTTACGCGGTCACGTATATGTATTTATTTCATTCACTTATTCTCATTTACAAAAGAGACTAACCGGCCGATCGTGGCCCGTGCGCATGTAACCGCTGTTTATCTTACAATTAAATCTCTGTAATATATTAGTACGACACCTTAGAGTTAAATTGGAATGGCGGATACCGTGCGGTATCCCGGCACCAAGTTTGAGCGCGTTTGTTCGAAAATGACATTCGACATTTACCCACAAATTAACCATGACTGGTTATGTACGGTCGGCACTACGTATAGAGAGAAACATCGAAGTATTAGTAGATTGTTGATTCCACGTTATTCCCACTCGAGAAGAGATAGAATCAATTGTATTGAAATAATCTTCCGATTCCTGATAAAATTTTAATTATATCTCTCTCTCGGTTTATAAAAAAAATTATATAATTAATTCTTCGTAATTCTTCTCGGTTAATTGTCGAGTATTTTATGTAGATTCAGTATTTATTTTTATAATTTAATATTCACTGTTAATTTAAATATTTTTTTTAATAATAATAATTAAAAGAGATGAATGAATAGGAAATCGTTATGTCATGGAATCTATCAATTATATTTATTCATATCGACCAAGCGCAGAATTGTGCGAATATATACGTTTTCTTTTTTTTTTCTTTTTTTTTTTTTTTTTTTTTTTTTTTT